TCGGGTTGTGCAGACATGCCAGGAGGTGGCGGTGGTGGAGGAGGATTTCCAGGACCTGGCATTGGATTCATGTTGCCCGGAGGTGGAGGATGTTGTCCGAAGTTCGGCCCGCCAGGGTGCTGTTGATGTTGCTGCTGTTGGGGAGGTCTTTGTTGCTGTGGCATGTTTTGACCGGGGTTGCTAGAAGGGTTCGGGAACTGTTGACCTTGCGGGTTTCCTGGCTTGTTCTTGTTTGCATCTTGGGGCCCATTGCCCGCACCTCCGACAACAGGTCTCGCTTGCATAGGCTCTTGAAACCCAGAAGGTTCAGTCTCCAGAATAATGTCTACACGCACCAGCTGCCTTTCGCGACGGTTGACCGAGCGCCATTTGTTTACAACGCTTGCGATTCTGTACTGGATAGTTCTATTGTACCTCGCAAGCTCAACGTTCTGGTCCTCAACGAGCTCATTGATGATCCGGCGACAGTTTGGGGAAGGGATCTCGTTCAATGCCTTCTTAACGTTATTATGGTTTCGACGAAACTTGTGCAGTTCGCTGTGGAGTTCCTGGAGTGCGACGTGTTGTTGCTCAGGTGTGGCATCCTCCCAGGAAGTGGCGTTCCTTGGCTTCTCTAAGATGAAGGAAGCCAATTGGGGATCGTAGTTGGCGTATGGGTTTAGAGGTTGCTGTTGGGGCTGAGCTGGCCTTTGCTGGGCCTGTCCAAAGTTCTGCTGTTGTCCAGAGCTCTGCTGCTGCCCATTCGGGACTTGTCGTTGTTGGCTGACATTCTGATGTTGATGGGGTACATGACCCTGGTACTGTCCCTGCTGTGGAGTCGCCATTGAATGGTTCGTAGAGGTTATGGGAGCGATATCTTGAACTAAGGAAGTATAGCCGATGGCTAGATGCTCAAGTGACTAAAGACTTGGCCGATGATCGAAACAGGCAGAGCAATGTGATGAAGACACGGGAAGTGAATGACAGGGCGAACTAGAAAGTCTAAGGCAGAAACAGGAGGACGTTGACCGAAGATATAGATTGGGAAATTTCCTGTCATACTGCAAGATTGTAGCTCTTGATCTTTGCCCGGAGCAGTAGTAACACTTTGTTGATGCAAGCGAGGTTGTGGTCCCTCTAGGAGTACAACAGCCACATCCAGTCGTTTCCCCGGGGGGTCTACATGAAACAAGCGTTAATTGGTCGTATCGAAGGGCACTCGCAAGCCCCACTTGAGGGTGATATCAAGGCTCTCACCGGTCTAAGCCACCAGGCTGAGGGGGACAAACAGGCAAATAACCCCGCCCTCTTGCGTGAACGCGCAGCATAGCTTCGTTGCTCCACGTCTTGAGGCTCAACTTTGACCGGACCAGTTAAAGATCGTATAAATTATGCATAAGCCATGCGCATGCATATTTGAGGACTCATAGCGGCTGCCTGTTGTTGCATGCAGCCTGATGGTGGTGGTGTTTGGATAAGGTCGCATATGCATTACAGCTGCAATCGTTGGGGTTCGCCGCGAATGATTGATGTAGTTTCTGCTTTGTTAACCTGCCCTCCGTGGAGCTGAATACATGAAGTCGTCGAAGTGTGAGAAACGTTCACGGTGCCACTGCAGAAGAAGCGATCATTGATTGACCACGCTAACGGGGCGTCATGACCCCGCTTTTGGTCCGTGCACGACTCAACACCCCCTTTCGCCGCGAGTCCTGGAGCCAGCCAAAAGAAGGCAACTGACCACTACAAGCCACCATCGCAAGGTGAACGGGAAAAATGAGGACCCCTTCTTTGAGTAACGAGTATCGATGGCTGAGACAGCGTCCTGCTGACGTCCAACCCGCCTGCTTGCCCTTCGTTCCGCTCGGCCAACGCCTCCAATCACCACCCACAAGTCGAGGTAAGAACCCGCTGGTTACACCGAAGTCGTTCAGTCACTGGTATTTGTACCTGGTGATGCGCATGTAGACCCCTTATCTGTGTCTGCACTTATACCGCTCAGCCCCGCTTGCATCACTGCTGGGCGTGTAGTATGTCAAACATTCTGGTGCATCGCCCTTTGGTGTATCGCAGTGCGATTCGATCTCTCCAGCCGATATTAATCCGCCTACATTCCAACATGGACTTCAGACCGTTCTTTGGTGCGGCTCAGCGCGCGTTCGCGCAGCGTCGATCTACTGCTGCACATCGCGTTGCTATCGACCTGTTTACTGCAGTTCGACGCCCTTCCATGCACCTCGTGCCGCCCTCCAATCTTCAGCTCTCTATTCAACCAATGTCCTTCTTGCCGGAAGCTCGCGGATTTGATCGCTTTTGGAGGCCTATCGAACACACCGGATCCACCGCGCATGACATGCATATACGCGGCTGGATGACATCTTTGACACGCAGCCTTATGCACGTCTGGGTTGCAACACCACAACCGTGTTCGAGAATCGTCTCTAATAGGTGAGAGCGACTGCAGCTCTTACGAGTAGCCGCGATGGATATACAACATCGTTACGCTTCATGATCTTCGCTCACCGGACGCAGACACGCCCTCGCTCATGCACTTCTATCATGAAGATCCTCTATATCAGTCTCGGACCGGATATGTCGGCTTGAGCCATCTCTCCTGCAATTTGAGGAGCATGACCAAGTCTCCGGCCCGAGCAAGTAGTCACAAGTGCGTTCTATTGAGAAATCATGCGCCCACAAACAGCCACCTGGGGCAAGGATGCAATCCTGCACCAGACTTGATACCGATGAACAGATTGAAGCGCGCCGGAAGCGCGAAACATCTTGATCGGTATGAAATTACTCTCCGAGCCACACGGCACTTGAGAGGCTCGGCATCTCGCTGGTACGATCCGCGGGTACGTACATATCTGAGACACGGGCAAGCATCACGGCTTGCCTACCCACCCCGCACGAACGCAGCATTCCGCCGACTCGGTAGCGTTGCCTTGACCGCCAGACTGATCCTTCGACAGCCAAGCTCTTACATCCGGCAGGCCGCGGCAGAGGCAAGATGGCGTGGCATTACAGGACGATCTTAATCACGCTTTCGGTTACACACTCCGAAGCAGTGACTGACAGCTTGCGATCAACACTAGACGATCCGATGAGAGCATGTTGGGATGACCTTCTAGCAGCCAGAGACAGGTTTCTTGACAAGTTGATCCGTCGGGCGATATGCAATGCATGCGCGGGGTGTCATGGTATGTCACATAACCAGCGTCGCAGAGCCTCAGAAAGTTACGATGGCAGCCTGGTTCGTTTACGTACCGCCACCAACTGCCTGCTTCGCTTGCAAATCATGCATGAAGGGTACTGGAGGACCATGAGCGAGGAGGATATGGATACTTCTCGCCTCAGAACGGGGTCTTCGAACACGATGCATACTGGATAAAGTGCGCGCCTGATAGTACGTAACGACAAGCATGACCGACTTATGGCCCCGGTCTGGCCTTCTATCCTGCCACAGGCAAATTCACATGCGTGCCTTGCCGTTTGAACCTAAGCGTTCGAGCGCCCCACCTCTCTTTGGCTTCGTCTAGTTCGAAGACATCCTCCCAAGGCTCGCCGATATCAACTTCATCCTGCTGGGACACGTTCGTCCAAGCATCATCAACTTCTGACGCACTGCTGACGATCTTGATGCCCATATCCTCCGCGATTTTTCTGACATCTTCGGCAGCCTGCTCTGCGCTTTCGTATTCGCTCTTCCAGGCTTTGAGCAAAACACTTCCAAGCCTAGCCTCCTCTAACACTTGAAGCTGATCACGCCAATCTTTTGCTGGCTTCGGTGGGCCGCCTTCAGGCGAAGAAAACGGGTCCCAATCTATGCCCCGTTTCCAGTGCGCTTCGGCCGTGTGAGTATTCGTCATAAGTTCCCACACAAAGGTCGCCCAGTAGAATCTATGGTGGAATCATGCAGTCAGCGAAGCATCACACGTTCGCCCTGACGAATGCGAGAGCGATGATTACTCACAAGGATTCACGATGACTTCCACACGTTCGAGGAAAGTCCGTGGGATAGTCATCGTAGTATATAGTGCCGCCATCTCCCGCCCATTCACAAGTATCCCAACCACCGGAAAAGTCTTCCGGGATTTCTTCGCTCTCATCCTCGCTTTCGCCCTCACTCTCGTCCACAGGATATTTTGAGATTGGAGCTCCGGCAGCACGCCATTCCTGGACCCTTCGCTCTCGTCTCTCGTACCGCTTCTCCTTTCTCCAAGCCTCTCGTCTACTATCGGCATCAAGCTCTGGCCCATCAACGCTGATGAAACCTGAAATAGCCAGTGAATAATCGGGCCGCAACCACACATTGGTAGACGAGAAGAATGTTAGGTATACAGAGCGAGAGTGAAGGTAGCTGATGGCGGACAGCGATTGTAAGGCCCACCGATAGTACAGGGCCAGCATGATGCGGTCCTCTCTGGATGGCTCTTTCGGGACAGGTAAAGTCATGACAGGGAGATCACCCCAGTGGGGCCCTGGTTCAAGTCTTTCGACGATCACTCCGTTACCGGCGTCGCTATATACAAGGCCGGTACGCCTACCATCGTGTTAACGTCAACACAGTATTATTTAACACTTCACATACCGAACAATCCTTGGATGCCCTTCGCCAAGCAGCTCATAAGCTTTCCGTAGCCGTTTGATCCCCCATTCTGGTCTAGCCCTTGTATCGTCATCTTTCGGTTTGTAGATGATGATGCTCTTCCCGTCTTTGTGAGGTACTGCGCATGCATGTTGCCAGAAATCACAGTACCAGCGTCGTGTGTCTTCTGGCTCTATGCTGGCTTCGGGGGGATAATATGGCGACTGCGTTGCAATCGTTCGCTCTTCATCTTGAGGCAGTGGCCCATTAAGATATGAGATTGCCGAACCCATTATGTAGCACGAGAAAAGATGCTAAAAGGTTTAAATCAAAATACATCGCGTACTATATACACTGACCGTGGTGTTGCCAGTTGAGGCAAGCGCCTCGTGAACCGTGCCAATGATGCCTGCTTGGCAGCCCCATCAAGCTTGTCCTAATCAGCTCTAAGTCTGAAGCCCAGCTTCCCGTCCTTGAACTCGAACACATCCTCCCACTTCTCACCAATGTCAACCTCGTCGCCAGAGATGGTTATGCCCACCTCGACTGCTGCCAACTCGATATCACGAACAACCTCATCCACGCTGCCATATCGATTATTCCAAGCGCCAACCAGAACATGTCCCAGTCGAGCATTCTCTAGCTGCTGGAATAGCTTGCGCCGTTCTCTCTCATCGATAATGTTAGATATATTTGGCGAGTCTTCGATCATGTAGCCTCCTTCCATGGGCCATGCAGGCTCCCATAGTCCACGAAAAGGCCCACGACGCGATGGCGATACAGCAGTGAAGTCATTCGTCATGAGTCGCCAGACGAATGTAGCCCAGTAGAAGCTAGAGTGTGAAGATAAGGGTCAGTTTGTGCGTACACCGTGGTTCGCGCATACTCACAGGTCTGCCTTTACACTTCCTTGTACACCTCCTGTGTAGTAGCTTTCATCAAAAGGATCCTCATGATGTACCATATCATATATCATGTCGTCCGCTGCCCACTCACCCTCGCTCCAACCGCAGCTAGCGGTGCTCTCTATCTCTCGCCCATTTTCATCTATGAAGTTAGCCTCTCGTCGGGCCGCTTTAGTGTCTTCGTCAGTATCTTTCCAGAGCTCATCCTCTATCTCCTGTGCACTAGCGCTGATGAATCCACCCACTGCGAGCGAGAAGTCCGGGCGTATCCACACGAGTTGCGATGAGAAGAACCCAATGCACATGGATCGAGCATGCATGAACCGGAAGGCGGAGAGCGCCTGTATCGCCCATCGGTAATACAGCGATAGCATGATCTTGTCTTCGTGCGACATCGTTTGCGCCACTACAGGCACTGTCATCGCAGGCACCTCCACCCTCTTGAGTTGGCCTGGTTCCAGTCTTTCAACGACTACGCCATCACCCGAAGTGCTGTATAGCGCGCCGATATACCTAAAAGATTAAGCGCGGCCAAGTACACAAGCAGAGTCATACGTACCGCACGATCCGCGGGTGTGGTCCACCGAGGAGCTCGTACGCCTTCCGCAAGCGCTTAATAGGCCAGCCATGCCTCGATCGGGGGTCTGGATAAAATCCGTTGTCTTCATCGCAAATGGGGGTGAATATGATGACTTTGTCCGTGTCTTGGTGTTGTACGACGTCTGCAAGTTCAAACAAGCGTTCGTACCAAATGGTTGGATTCGCTTCGGCAGGGACAAGCTGGCCGTTACGCACATACGGGTATCGATTTGGGCCATCATAAGGAGGCCGAGAGTCTGGCTTCGAAGGCTCGGGTGAGAAGATTGACGAGAATGTGGAGCCCATGATGGTTTGCTGGTGATGGAGTTGTTAAAGTCTGCGCTATGAGAAAGCTGGTGAAGGTTATGGGGCTAGCAGCCAGATATAGATGCTTTCAATGGGAACACTCGCGTCCTTAACATTGCGAGCAAGTTATAGCCGTGTAGATCGCGATGCATCATTGGTCAGACTATAGAGGCACGACAGAGAGGCGGGATGAAAGGGCGACCCGAAACAGAAGGATCTGCGCTTAGTACAGAGATACCTGCTTGGCACATATAAAACCAACAAAGGCCATCAGGCACCCACTCCAGCTGTTGGAAACGAATTAATCCACTGGGTGTTTCTGAGAATCAACGCGCGACTTCCAGAAGTATTCTGCATCCTTATCTTCATACCCTTCCACCCACAGATTCACATAAACAACAGGCGCACAAGCATCATCATAACTCCCATACTGTTCCATCGATTCGAAGAATATCTTCACACCCTCCGGTACATGGCTTATATTGTCGCTGCCCGCGTTGTACAAGTAAAGTAGCGACTCCCGAATCTTGTCTTCGATAAAAGGGCAATTCGCCCAGGCGTGAAACTGGTCCACTACGTCGCGGATGAGTAGCGGGCTACCGTCTTCCGTCTCGATGACGAAGTAGTCCCAGGCGTCTTCTAGGTTCTCAACCCCGTCTTCTGGTCCTTCGAAGCCGTCGCTCCACATGTGGCATTCACTGGCGTGTACACCGAGGTCCTTTGATGTGAAGATGAGTTTGTTCGCATTGGTCGTTGTTGCTGGTTCTAGGGCGATTGGGTGGTTGGTTAGGTAGGCTCTGGAAGATGGGAAAGCGTCTTCGTTGTCTTCAGCGACTTGGACGCTCGATGTGCCTGCTGGGTCTAGAACGGGCCAGTAGAGGCGATCGAATGCCTCGTGGTTCATGATGCTTTTGTTTTCATCGGGAACGGGGGTTTGGATTAGCATTGTGGGAGAATGAGAGTTAGGTATGAAGTTGTGGGCAGCGTGACAGAAGATGGTGAGAAATGGACATAGCAATGCGCACGTAAAAAACTTTATACTGAGCGCTAGAAGACGAGAGCGCAGGCAGCAATTAAGCTAGAGGCGCTTGGTTTTCGTTCTTAGCGAGGCGAGGTGGGGCGTACGGCAAGTATTGCCGTTGACAAGGAGAGAGAAATAAAAGAACATGCTACAACGCGATGTGGAAAGAAGCAGGACTGTATTTGGAACGTGATGGGAAGAGAATCCCCATTCACCTCGCCGGCCCCTCCAGCGTATTCCGTCGACTAGGCATCCTCGGATCCCTCTTCCCCATCGTAACCTCAAGCGCCTGAATCAAAGCCGTACCATCATACCTAACAAAGTTCTCGCCCTCATGTTTCTTTCCATAGACGCGAATGGGCTCAATACCAATACTCTTAAGCTCGTCCCGGTCGACTGCCGGCGTCCCTGGCCCTTGGAGATGTATGATGTGCGTCACATACTTCTTATATTGACTCTTCTCAAGAGGCCCAAACACGCTCTTGGAGTCTTCGCATGCTTTCGCGATGGCAGCTATGAAGTCAAGGGCGGAGTATGGGTTGGACGACGGTCCTGTCTCGCGATCGATGGTTGAGTTGAGGATGAGGATCTTGTAGCGGATTGCGGGGTTGCTGATGGCTTCGCCGATACCTTTGAGGACCAATGAAGGGATGATGGATGTGTAGAGCGAGCCGATGCTGTATATGACAGCCTGCGCGTCGTTCAGCGCATTGAGGACCGTTGGGTTCGCGGAAAGCCGGATCTCCTGGCCATAGGGATTGATATACCAAAGTCTTTCGATTCCGGCTGGCAGCTCCTCTTCATCCGCCTTGGAGAAGGTGATGTACTGCTTCCGAAGAGTCGGTAAAGATCCGGGTAAATTGGCATCCTCGATTCGATCGTGCTGTTCGGTCTCATCGATTATTGGTGCACCTCCCGATACCAGAGCTGTTGATATGGAAGGGTGTGAGATGGAGTTCTGGCCGGTGATGGTGTCGCCGTTTGCGAGGCTGACGGAGATGTGGTGTGTGAAGTTGGTGTTGATCGCGGGTAAGACTGACGTGTGACTGGGCACGGAACAGATGCTGGAGAGTAGGTAGATGGCTGACTCAAACGAGCCAGTGAAGAGTCGAGCGCTGTGAATGTCAGCTTCGAGGAGCTTGATCTGGGTAGGTGTGCTGAGGAGGATACGCGATAGTAAACGTAACAGGACTATCATATCGGGATTTGATCAATCACATGGATGGGAAAAAGCGCAATGCTGTAGTGTATCAATCACATACCCAGTGAGAAACAAGTTACCGATACTTGCGCCTGAGAAGTCAAAGCTAGATGAAGGTCGGCGACGCTTGACGATCTCGTATGCGACGACGTTGAGTATGGATCGTATGAGCTCTTTCTTCGCTGTCGAGATGTTTGTCCAAAGTGCATGCTCAGCCTCTACAATCTGCAGCCATTCATCGCGGGCTGAAGACCGTTCTTTGGGCAGTCTGTGGTTGAAGAAGGTCTTAATAGCTGCTTTCTCGCTGTCATCGTGATCTGGGTCATCCGGGATTAGGCGGACAAGACGACCTAGAAAGGTTAACATCTGGATCATTGTTCTCTGAGAGCATTCGCGTACTTCTCACATCACCGATACCTGCAAAAGTCAACGTTGTGTCGTTCCTGCCTCAGACTGCGCATACCTGGACCTCCGAAGACGCGTATCAGCTCAGACGAGCTGCCGCCGTTATCACTGATAGGGATGACGTAGCTCAGCGGACATCTCTTGTCTTCTCTGACTTTCTTAAACACATCGACTAGATTGTTTGCAGCGCTTCCGCCTGAGAACACAACGATGCCTTTGCTTTTGAGGTTGCCGTTGGACATCGGCGAAGACGGCGTTGCGTGGTCGCCGTTAGGCGTAAGGAAGTTCTCGGCAGACATGACAAGATGCGTGCAATGATGGCTGACCACATGGGTCGTGGCGCGGGTTTATCAAGTCATGGTGATGTTGACAGGGTGTTCGCAAAGGTGGATGCCCTTCCATGAGCCCAGAATAGCAGAGGCAGGAGTCATGCACTAATCCATTAGGGTGTCACGCGTTACGCGACTAGGCAATATCTCGCATTTTAAGCACAATTTGGCATAGGTGTTTGACTGTGATTTTGCATTTGTAGTTGGTTTGAAATGAAATTTGTACAGAACGAGTCGCCATCCAAGATGTGGTAGAAGGCTGCTCTCAACGCATCCAACCCCGCTCATGTTGCATGCCCATATCCGCTCATCATGGGCGCTGGAAGTAGCGCATGATAGTCTCAGTCCCATTGTAGTTGAGATGACGCTCTGGCCGTGCGTGCGATGTCCAGTCCCAGCTTCCCCTACCCCTCACACCACTGTCTCTTGCCATTGCAGGCCACGGCCGCCTAAGAGGTTCCAGCGGCCTCCTCGCGCTCCTTCCTCCGCGCTCGCTTCTCGAGTAGAGCGTCTCGTCGGTCGGCTAGGAGGCGGAATTGTCGGTTCTCAACGCCAGTGAGCCAGTAGCCGAAGCTGCCACCGGCGCCGGCGTAGAGGGGGTAGACCCAGAGGGATTCCTTGTTGAAGAGCGGGCGCATCTCAATGCCGAGTTGCCATAGCCGGGCGGCAACGCCTGGTGTATGTTGTCAGTAGAGGCCCTTGGGGTATGCGCGGTCGGCTGGGGACATACCGAAGCCGCTCCAGAAGAGGATCTTGTGGACCATGGTGAGCGGGTGTAGTCGTGGTAGTTGTGTCGGTGTGGAGGACTCCTTCGGTGCTGCAGCGGCAATCGTGGCGGGTGTCGTGAGGGCGCGTTGTCACCGCTGTACCAGTCCTGGGTTTCTGGGCTGCGATGCTCCATCGTCAAGCTCCGGAACGCCAAGAACGAACCACCCACGCGGATGCGGAACCAAGGTCCGCCGACCTCACCTCCGCGACAATGCCGCCTTCGCGCCTCTCCTGATATTGTCACTCACTCTTTAGCTCTCGCTCTACAATCCATTCACTATTACCACTTTGAGCTGGCGCACCAGCCTAGCCCCCTACGTCATTTGCTGCTCGCCAGCCTTTCCCACCCCCGTCTTGATGCGCTGGGCCGCAACACAAACGACACAAAACGACTGATCGCAATCACGTAAATTCAACCATGGCGGAAGTCGGCCGCAAGCGCCCAAGTGAAAGCG